GCGGTCCCTGTGCTTTGCCAAGCTTGTTTCAAGTAGGTGCTTTAGACCACTGAGCCATCTCTCCAGCCCCCTTTTCTTTCTTATACCTTGATTATCTCAGGTGTTTTCTGCAACAGAAACTTGACCAACAGTCCTCATTTTTCTCTTCTCTGCACCTCGATTTTCTAATCTATCAGCTGGTCACAGAGTGCAGTAATATCCCATAGGTGATGGGAAAGATTAAAAAATATTTATATGCATATAGAAGTGCAGCAAGCAGCAAGCTGAAGCCTAAAGATCCAGCCCTCTACTCTTATGTTGAATTCCTTCAAACAATCAGCAAGGAAAAAAGGTCAGGTCTGTGCCGTCTGCCTGCCTCCTCAGAGGCGCCAGGAGAACCTTGTGCTGAGAACTCTTCCTGGCATTTGAAGGACAGCCGGCCTGTTTCTCAAGGTCAAACCAAGCAGCTTGTGTTGCCCAGATAGGTGTTTTTCAGTTGCTGATGTTAAGTAAATAGACATTTTGAGGAAAAATTGTAAGTTTGCTTTTTTTTTTTTTAAGACAAGTAATAAATACACTTAGTTTGTTCAAAATTAAAATTAAAATCCCACCTTGCAGAATCAGGACTGAAACTCACCATGGCATGGCTTCAGCAGAGACTGCAGGCCTGGGAGACAACACCAAGCCCTTCCACCTCCTGCAGGAGACTTCCATGGTTACAGCTTGTTGGAAGTCAACCAGGGGCAGCGTCAGCTGTGCAGGATAAATAAGCCTTGTGGATACAATAAGACTTTAACTTGATCACCCTGAGCCTCAGTTTTCCCATTTGCAAAAAGGAAATCTCACTGTGCGTGGTGGTGCACACCTGTAACCTCAGCACTCAGGAAGCTGAGACCGGAGCATGGCTGAGAGCTCAAGGCCAACCTAGGCTAAATAAGGAGTTCAAGACCAATGGGGGGGGGGTGCGGGGAGAAGGCTCAGTAGAATAAGCACCTCCCTGACAAGCGCAAGGGCCTGAGTTCAATCTCTGGTTCTGAAAAAAAAAAAAAAAAAAAGACCAGTCTGAACTACCTAGCAAGACCCTGTCTCAAAACCCATAATAACAACAAAAAGAGACTCTTGATGGTATCCTCAGGGCCCCACTTACATAGAGATCAACAAAATGCAGGAGCAACGCATTTCAAAATGGTCCGGTAGGGCTGGCCAAATAGCGCAGCAGATGAAAGTGCCTGCAAGCAGGCGCAGGGGCTGGAGACGTTGATTGAAACTGGGCGTGGTGGCGCGCGCCTGTAATCCCAGCACTTGGGAGGCTATAAACAGGAGAAGCACTATGAGTCGGATCTAGTAGTGAGACCCTGAACATCCTATAGACCCCTAAAAAATACAAAACAAAAACAAAATGGTCTGACAAAGGAGTTAGTCATCTCACATGTCTGAAGACCAAGGGGACTCGAGGTACCTCTGACCCAGTCTCCTCCAACAAATCTGGTTTCTTTCTACATTCAGCCTGACTCTGACGTGAGTTGATCCTCAGCCTCCTCAGATTGGCAGGTCTGGGTCCAGCTCATCCAGATCACGTGTCCTGAGGCCCAGGAAGGGGAAAAGGAAGCCCCAGGCACTGGAGTGGAGCTGGGCTAGGAAAGGTGGGAGTCAGCTGCTGGGCACACTGTAGTGGGTTGCATGTTGTGCAGAGCTCAGATGTAATGGCTGTTGTCCCTAGGAGAAGGGGCAAGGATGTGGAGACTCAGGGAGGCCGAATGATTACCAGACGGTGACAAAGCTGTGGACACCGAAGACTGCCTGTTACCTCCAGCAGTCGTATGTTGGGCCTTCCAAGCAGGAGACAGCCAGCAGGGTTAAGACAGCCAGGGACACTGACTGGCTCTCTCCTGTGGGTCCTGCCTAGCCTTCCCTCACAGGCTGGGGCTCAGCCGCTGCTGGACACAGAATCTGTTTCTTTTCCTTTCTTCTTTCTTCCTCCCCTTCCTCCCCTCTTCAAATGTACTGTACAGCTCAGACTTACAGTGATCCTCCAGTGCTGAATCGAACCCCAGTCCCTGCGCTTGCCAAACAGGCACTTAGTCAGCTAAGCTATCTCACCAGCGCCAGAATCTGGCTCCCATAAACACCTTTTTGAACTCAATTTCATTTTTCTCACCCAAGAAAGGAGTCTGGAAGAAAGTGCCCAGACTCTGGAGGTGCACCAGGGAGCTGAGATGTTTTCATGGTTGGTTGAAGGTTTTTCCTTCTTTGCTGCCATGGTCTGTCCTGCCGGATTTCCCTCTAAGGAATGCAAAGGAGATGGGTTCCTGTCCTCAGAGCTGCTGGGGGGGGCTGCTCATGGCCAGAGGCTGGGCCCACCAGGCTCCCTTTGTGCCCTGTTGTTCCCACTAGGCCCTGGCTGGAGAGGAGCCTTTGCCAGGAGGACCCTGGACCCCTGCACACAGCCCGGGAACTGGGCCCTGCAGTCCCTCCACACCACTGAAGGCCGAGCAGCCTGGGGGAGGAGTGGCAACACTGACCAGAAGTGCTGACCAGGGATGGCCAAGGAGCCTCCTGCTTCCCTGTGGCCACCACCCCACTCAGTGCTCACCATCCTGGGGCCTGAACTTCCCTTTCTTTTCTTTCTCCCTCCCTCCCTCCCTTCCTTCCTCCCTTCCATCTTTACTTCTTTTCTTTTGTTCTTTCTTTCGTTTGTTTGTTCTTTCTTTTTTTCTCTGTCTTTCTTGGGACTTGGACCCACAGAAAGCAGGTTACCACTAAGCTACATCTCTGACCCTCTTTATTTTTTATGTTGAGACAGGGCCATGCTAGATTGCCCAGGCTGGGCTGAAATTTGCAATCCTCCTGCTTCAGCCTGCAGAGTGCTGGGATTACAGGTATGAGGTACCACACCCATTCCAAGAGTCCTTGCTCAGTCGCACATGCAGGACAGCAGAAGTAGCTGTGGGGCTGGGGGGCTGGGTGGACAGATGGGACCAATGCTTTCTGCACCCTCACTCAGTCTGCGAGCCACCTCCAACTGCACAACAGCCCCGGGTGTGGGCAACTTATCCTGGCACCCCCTCCGTGGCTGGACAGGGACAGAAACATGGGGCATTTTCTGGGCCTGGCCTGGGCCACAGCTTGGGAGGTTCCTGGGGCCCCCTCCCCATGCCTACTGGGAGGAACAGGACATTGGAGGTGTAGGGCAGAGCTGAGCAGAAGAGGGAGGGGAAGAGGCAGGCAAGGTGCTACTTTGTTTCTTATTGGTTTCTCCCAGACTTCCATAGTCAGAAAAAAATGTCCTGAGTCCTAAGGACACACAGTTATAGGGACACAGCTACTGCGATGCTGTGTGCTGGGCACAGCCAGGCAGAGCCTCCACCATGGCCCTGTGGCTCTGAGGTTGAGCAGGACCTGCGTGCAAGGACCAGCGAGACTGGGCCACGCCCACACCGTGCCAGCCCCTCCCACGCCCGGGTGGAGAATCAACCTCCAAAGCTGGCTGGTGGGAGCCAGCGCCACTGAGGCCAGCAGGCCAGATGCACACACAGCCCAGCAGGTGGAAGCAGCCCTTGCCATCCTGATAGCACTTCTCTCTGCAGCATCTTTAATTTGCTTTTTGTAGAAAATAAACTAATGGAAGCAATAAAACTTCTTTTAGGAAAAGAGCAGGCCTCAGCTTTTCTGCCTGGCAGCATTCCTGCGGAGCAGAGGAGAGGGAGACTCAGGGGCTGTGCGAGGGGTTTGAATTCCCCTAATTTCAGTGTGGTCAGCTCTGTGGCTGCCGTGCCTGATACTACTCAGCCCAGTCTGCCTCGGTTTCCCTATCTGTCATTCCCGCAGTGTTGGTCTTGTGCCTCATCCAGGGGAGTGATCTTAAGGGGTTCCTGGGGGCAAAGGACATCCCATACTGAGGCCCAGGTCAGAAGCAGAGAGAGAGAGAGAGAGAGAGACACAGACAGACAGACAGACAGACAGACAGACAGACAGACAGACAGACAGACCATGGTCAGTGTCCAAGACCCATGGCTCAGATCTCAGGGTCTATATCTGGAATTCATGGAAAATCAGTGTGGTGGCACACACCTGCAGCCCAGGATTCAAGAGGCTGAGGCAGGAGTTCAGGCCAGTCTGGGTTACACAGTGAGTTCAAGGTCATCTTGAATTACATACTAAGACTCTGTCTTAAAACAAACTGAAAAAGAAAGACAAGAAAATGGGGCCGGGGAGATGGCTCAGTGGAATAAGCACTTCCCAGGCAAGGGCAAGGGCCTGAGTTCAAGCCCTGGTTCCACCAAAAAAAAAGGAACCAAAGAAAGAAAGGAGATTAATTCCTGAAAACTGGAAGGGAAATGCTGGCACGTACTGTTCATGAGCCTGGTTACCTGGGTCGAGTACCACCTGAGCAGAGAAGTTGCTGAACCCTGACCCTGGGCAGAGCTGTTTCTTTGTGGCTGTTGGTTTTGTGTGTGTGTGTGTGTGTGTGTGTGTGTGTGTGTGGCCAGCTCAGCCCACCAGGGGGCGGGGCTGGCTGGCATGTGGTGCTGGGGGATTGAATCGCGGTCCCTGTGCTTTGCTAAGCTTGTTCTAAGTAGGTGCTTTAGACCACTGAGCCATCTCACCAGCCCCATGGCTGTTGGTTTTTGTTTTTGTTTTGCCATATTAGGGATCAAAGCCAAGGCCTTAGCACTGAGCTCCATCCCCAGTTCCTTTTATTTTATTTTATTTTGAGACTGGATCTCACACTTCACTAAATTGTCCAGGCTGGGCTGGGATTATAGCTCAGTGGCATAAGGGCCTACCTGGCAAGTGCAAGGTCCCATATTCAATCCCCAGTACCAATAAATAAATAAATAAATAAATAAATAAATAAAGCGGGCTGGCCAGATAGCTCAATGGACTAAAATGCCTGCTTGGGGCTGGGGAGATAGCTCAGTAGAATAAGCGCTTGCCTGACAGGCACAAGGGCCTGAGTTCAATCCCCAGTTCTGCCAAAATAAATAAATAAATAAATAAATAAATAAAATGCCTGCTTGATCCTTCGGTTTATGAGCGTGATGATTGGGTATTTATGCCCTACGCATGAGATGTGCCTCCCTCAAACCTTGTTACAACGTGGGTACATTACCCATCTGATATGAAAGAAAAAAAAATTAAAAATAAAAATAAAAAAATAAAATGCCTGCCTAAGCAGGGACCAGTTCAATCCCCAGTGTGCCATGCCAGCCCTGCCCCCGGGGTACACTGAGAGGGCAATTGAACTGGGTGTGGTTGTGTGTGCCTGTAATCCCAATGCTTGGGAGGCTGAAAACAGGAGGATCACTGAGTCTGATCTGGTTACTGAGACCCTGCAGACCCTGTACTAAATACATTTTTAAAAAAGAAAAGAGTCCAGGCTGGGACCGAACATGTCATCCTCTTGCCCCAGCCTCCCAGAATGCTGAGATGACAGCTGTGCACATCGTGTCATGGGCAAGCTCTTGGAACAATTTTCCAGATGGACAGACTCAGGCTCCAGGGCAGCACCTCAACCAGGACCTTGGGGTGGCAGGCAGGGCTCTCGCTAGCCCGCTGAAGGTTCGCTTTCCCCAGCCCCTCATCCTTGGGCTCCCTGCTGCCTTGGGCTCTGTATCCAATGCAAGGTTGCTGTCCCAAGCTCCAGGGCAGAGATGGCTCTTAGGGGCCCCATGGCCTGGGGAGGCCTGAGTTCCCTTCTGTCAGAGCCGGGGAGGTGCTGGAGGAGGGGTCCCCAGAGTCCCCAACCCTTGCTAGCTCCTCTAGATTTCACAGGCTTTAGTGCCACCTGCTGGCCAAGTGTCCCATTGCCATGGCAACCATGGCTAGGCTCAGGCATGGGGGTGGGGAGAGGAGTCAGTGCACCTAGTGAGACCTCCCTAGGGGAGTGCCTTCCCTTATCAGCCACCATCCCGTCTCATCCCCCAAAGCTGGTGGGGGATCCTTGCCCAGACCTGATGCTCACCAAAGACCTCAGGCAGTGGCCCCACCATCTCCCTCAGTGCTGCAAGGATCCCTGGCTCAGGCACAGTGATCCCAGCCTTATGGGCCCTAAAGCCGCACAGGACAGGGCCATCACCCACTCTGGGGTCTCCCCTCCAGGTCCTGTCTCCTGCTCTGCCTCTTGGCAGCCCCTGCATGTGCTGGCCTTACCTCTGAGTGCTTCCTTTGGTTTCTACTCTTACTAACACCAGGTCAGCCAAGCTTCTAGAACATTCTGCTCATAGTGGCCAACTGAGCCCTGCTGTCTCCTGTGGGAAACTGTCCACTCTTGGGGGGACCCCAAGCCCATGGCTGCCTGGTGAGCTGTGTGCTGACTTGGTCCCACTTATCCTGTTCCTCCTCAAATTCCACCCTGCCAGGACCCTCTTGTTCCTGTCACTGCTCCCAGAGTCTCCAGGGAGAGAAGGGCAGGGTTAGCTTCTACCTGGCCACATCTGAGACAGGTAGATCCTGCTGGGTGAGGGGCTTGGGTCATCCCTGGACACAACTGACCTCAGGTTCCCAGCACAATCCTCAGGGATCCCTGTCTTGGAGTCTCACATGGAACCTGAGAGACAGGAAGACAGCATGAAAGAGTCTCCAAACTAGACTTGGTGGCATACACCTGTAATCCAGCACTCTAGGAGGCTGAGGCAGAAGGAGACCAAGATTGAGCTCAACCTGGGCAACTTAGCAACTCAGTGAGAACTTTTCTCAAAATAATAACAGAGCTGAGGAATGTAGCTCAGTGCAAATGCCCAGGGTACAATCCCAGAACTTTAAAAAATAAAGGAAGGAAGGGAAAGGGGGTGGGGAATCTACTGAAAGATGGGCAGGTGCCTGGGTGTGGACCTGGCACAGCCAGGTGCCGGGGCCACCCCCTCGCCTGGTTCCTAGGTGGGAGGCGGCCTCAGCAGCCAGAGTCTTGGTTCTGCCCAGCTTAACCTAGGTGGCCTGTTGTCTTGGGCTGGTCACTGCTTGGTACCAAACCCATCTCAAGGCTCTGCTCCAGGGCCAGGGAGATAACTCAGTAGAATAAGTGACTGCCTGGCAAGTGCAGGGTCCTGAGTTCAAGCCCCAGTACTACAAAAAAACAAAAAACAAGGCTCTTCTCCAGGCCAGTAGGTAGGTCATCTGGGTTCTTTTGGTCACATACTCTGCCTGAGTTCCCACACACATGAGGACCCAGGGCCCCTGGGTCCATGCCAGAGTTGGACACAGGACCCCCAAAGGTAGTGGCCACTACCCTCAGGACAAGGCATATGGTCTCTATTTGTTGTTGACAGGGGATCTCAAGGCATTACACATGGCCTGATCCTACACACACACACACACACACACACACACACACACGCATGCACACACACACACACACACACACACACACACACACACAGCCTTGTTATTTTGAGATTGGGTCTGGATAAATCATTACATCATTTAGGCTGGGCTCAAATTTCCCGCCCCCCCTGCGGAACCAGGGATTGAACTCAGACCCTTGCACTTGCCAGGGAAGCGCTTATTCCACTGAGCCATCTCTCTGGCCCCTTGCGCTCAGATTTGTAATCCTCCTGCCTCTGCCTCCTGAGGGCTGGGATCACAGGCGTGTCACCTCACGGAGCTTGGGGAGCATGGTATCTTTGCCCCTGTCTGCAGTGACCCATTCCCTCATCTCCCCTGCAGTAGAGACAGGTGGACAGGGAGGGCAGTCTCCTGAGCGATCTCACAGGGCTTGGCTCCTCAGGCAGGGACAGCAGGAGGGTCCTGTTTGGCTGCCCGGCCAGTAACTGTGGACTGGCCCTGTGCTGCATCACTGTCACCACCTCAGTCTTGGCTCCACTGTGCCCAAGCCATTTGTGTCTAATCAGAGGTGGATTTTGTATGTCTGGCGCTTACAGGAATCTTCTTAAGCTCTTCGCCATCTCCTGGGGATTAGTGCTGCTAATCTGCAGATCCACTTAGCTGTCACCATGCGCCACGTTCCCAAACATAGGCTTCCACGGAGCATGGTGCATGGCCAGGCCTCCTCCCAGGGACACGCACCTCCGTGGGACAGGGACTCCTACAGCTTGCTGAGTACCTGTTGGATGTTGGGTGCTGTCCTGCCCAGCCTACCACTACATAGAAGAGAAACTGAGGGCTGAGGAAGGGGCCGGGTCCCCAAATGCATAACCAATGCCAGCAGAGGCTTTTTTCTCTATTATGCAGGAGAGAGTTACCTTCTGCAGCAGTGTAGCTGTCCCCTTTGCTTGCAGAGGTTCTGAGGCAAAAGAAGGAGGCAAGCACCCCAAGAGGGGCCTGATGGAACCTCATCCTGCCGATGAGACCCGAGTGAGGCTCAGAGCAGCCCAGGAAGCCAATGGGGGCCACAAGCGAGAGTCACCTTTCAGTGCCCAGGAAAGGGGACATTACCTGGGGAGGATGTCAACTAGGGTTCTCCTGGGTGTCGCTCCAAACCTCAGTCCTAAAGGGCAGGCTGGACTGGCTTATAGCCAGAAGGCCCACGCAGGGAGGGCTTGCTCTGCCCCCGTGCTGCGCCACGAGGAGCTCACCCTGAAGTCAGGCTAGCCCACAGCTGGACTAGAGCTGGCGCCTGGCTGCTTTCCATGAGCACTCTTGGGGAGCACCCTTGGGTGCAACTGGGAAATATTTTGGGTGCTACTGGGGAGCATTCTTTGGGTGGGCTGTGCAAAGGTCCTCAGGTGGGCTACATGTAAGGGTCTCTCCTTTCCTGGCTTCAGTTGCCTCCAGGCAAGCAGAGTCTGGAAAGTGTAAATGAAAATCCTGCAAGTAAACAACACTTTTAAGTTTTTTTTTTTTTTGGAATTGGGTATTGAACTCAGATCCTTGTGCTTGCCAGGCAAGCACTTATTCTACTGAGCCATCTCCCCAGCCCCTCTTTTTTTTTTTTTTTTTAATTTTATTTATTTGTGTGTGTGTGTGTGTGTGTGTGTGTGTGGCCAGCTCAGCCCATCAGGGGGCGGGGCTGGCCAGCATGTGGTGCTGGGGGATTGAACCGTGGTCCCTGGGCTTTGCTAAGCTTGTTCTAAGTAGGTGTTTTAGACCACTGAGCCATCTCACCAGCCCCACCCCCAGCCCCTCTTTTAAGTTTTGAGCAGTGAGATGAAATCTCACCACTACCACACCCACCCAGCATAGCCACATTGCCTGCCCTGCCTCCCACTGAGCCACATGAGTCCTCTGTGTTCTCAGCTCATGGTCGCTGCATCAGGTGCCTGTACCTAAGTCTCCCTGGTTTTCCTCACCAGTGACCCAAAGAGCAGGACAGTGCTGCTGCCTCCAAGTGAGAAGGTAGAACTGTGGTGCAGGTGCTGCACGGAAGGCACGAGCACAGGTGTATGCTGCCTGTAGGCCCACCTTCCACTAGGGTCCTGGTGCACATTCCCTGGGACAGCAGGGACACTGTGGAGCATATGAGACACAGCACAGGAAGGGCCAGCCAGATAGCTCTGTTCTGGCAGAGTGCAGCAGCCAGGGTTTGATCCCCAGTGTGGCGTGCTGTGCTGGCCCCTTCCCCGAAGTGTGCTGAGAGACTGAGACTGCGTGTGGTGGCACATGCCTGTAATCCCAGGGCTTGGGAGGTTGAAAACAGGAAGATCACTATAAGTCCCATCTACATAGTAAGACCTTGTACTAAATTCATTAGAAAGAAAGATAGACAGACAGACAGACAGCGCAGGGGACAGCACTGGGCTGAGCCCCAGCATGGGCCATGTCCTCTGAGAACATTTGAAAGGGCAGGGGACAACAGGAACCATTTTTACGCAGACCTGTCACCGGGACACCATGCACCAGGAGAGAACTGAGCAACAGTCCAGTCTGTCTTCTCCCAGAGCAGCCATATGCTCTGGACAGGGCTTGGCCAGTCCCAGGCAGCTCTGACACCCTCTCCATCTCCATCAGAAGACAGGTATCAGAGAGAGGAGGAACAAGGAATCCCAGCCTGTGGGCTGGCGCGGTGCTAACCTGAGTCCTTAGGGACCAGCTGAGCGGCTGGGTCGATCTGGACCTGAAGCATACCGCAGCTTTAGCATTCTCTTCACTAAACTCCCTTATGGTTGGACTGTGTTCAGCCAGGTTTTCTGCTTTTGCCACCAAATATCCTGATGCAGGGCATGGG